AGTTGCAATACGACTTCTGCTTCCTGCGCTCGTATTTTGCCGTTTTTTCAAGTTTTTCGCCTGCTCCGGTATTTTGCAGTTTATTGATTATGTGCAATCACTATAGCATTCATTGTATTCAAGCCGGACCCCGGCACTGCACAACCACAGCAGTCGGTCGGTCTGACTCGATTTTCAAAAGACTTCGGGTATAACAACACTTCACAAATACGGACACTTTTCTGATGCCCCGCCGAGTGTGGTTATACGCAAAGTTGACTGTTGTTGCACACCGCACAGGGTAACTGCTTTTGAGGTTATGCCAATGATGTTGTAGCATGGCTACTTTATGACACGTAATTTGTATACACATACACCGTAGGAATGCATGGATAGCAGTGCGCATACTCGCACTGCCTTGTCTTCTTTTTCTCCTTGTGAGACAATGAACGAATGATAACTACTTACGTAGCTACAAGTATGTGCTTTGAGTGCTGAGAGTATACGAGTTACAATGGTGGCAGCGGAAAAATAGTCGTCGGTTTTGTCCTCGGCTGGGAAGACGCCTCCGCAGGAGAGACAAGTTGCAGAGTCGACAAGTTCCAGAGAGTCTGAGACCAGTTCCAGCTACTCGGGAGACCAGCCCACAGACTAAGTTCTAATTTACTAGTATTGATCATTCTATCCTTCGTCTCGTTTTCCATTCTTTACTTCTTGACTGATCGCTCGCTGTGCATGAGTAACAGTTTTGTTTGGTGTAGAAAGGTCTACATTTTCACAAAAATATTTTGCGCACGTGATTGTGCGTGCATACTAAGGGTGCGTTCTTAAATTCTCCAGCTTCTAGAAGAAGAAGAAAAGAGAAGTCGAAGAAACTGGGATTCTTCAAGAACGGGTCTCGAAGAATTCGGAGATATTTTGCAGATGTCAAGCAAAATGGAGCGCCAAAGGGACCGTGATCTTGAGTGCCACGAAAATAGTATGCGCTGTGCGTATGTGAAAAGGGAAATGCGTACACTCATGATCAACACGTGGCTTTTAGCCTAGTTCGCATGCGCTGATCCGAAACCGCGGGAATCTCCGAGTTTCAACCACCTCTGAAGCTTGGAGAGCTTCGAGAGCTTTGGAGAGCCTCCTAAAATTCGGAGAGGATATAAGAACAGCTCTCGAACTTTTCGGAGAGTCTCCAACTTTTCCGAGAGGATTTAAGAACGCACCCTAAGCAAGTACACTGTTGACGTCATGTCCCGTGCATGTGCATGTGACGTGAACGTCCGTGTGACGTAACCAGAATGTTTTGTGTAGGTCAATTTTTTTGTAACATTTTCAAAGGTTTTTTGGAACTACAAAATTAATGTTTGTAGCTTGGGCCATTTTGATAGTGAGATATCTGAGATGGGCAAGTCCAAAGGCAGAAAGAAGACCAGGTCCCCTCGACCTCGTCCGTTCAAGATACCGTCTGACGAACATGCCAGTGCATCAGAGTTGCACCAGTCTAATGACACCGCCGGGAGTGCGTGATCAACTAGCTCAGGCGCTCGAGAAACTTGATCGCAGGTTGACAGACCTCGAAAAGAGACTCAGCTGTTTGGAAATTGTTGCTCCACGAACACAGGTTCCTGCAGGAGCAAGTTTCGAATTTGATCAGCCTCATAGTAGTAGCAGTGGTCGTGGACATTCGTATGGTCGTGGTGGTCAGGTGGAACCACCGATTTGTTGTGGTTGTGGACAACCTGGCCATTTTGCTCTAGATTGCCCACACAACCCTTGGCGCTCGGGAAACTGAGTACGACTGGTGGTGTGGGACAACTCCCAGTCGTTCACGAGGAGCCAGCAGATGCAGTACGTATCGAGGCTGTATCGTCTGTAGTCCCTACGCTAGATATCCATGTTCAAGGCAAGTGCGTACCGGCGTTAATTGACTCTGGTTCCTGTGTTTCTATGTTGCATGAGCAAACATTTTTGTCCACGTATGGTGATGTGCCCTTGCAAGCTGCTTCCCGTTTGTGTGCGGCTAATGGTGAGGGACTCCTGGTTCTGGGTGCTATGGATATTGTATGCTGCATTGGAGAGCGTTCATTCTTGCATACATTTGTAGTGTCTCCTGATATCCGCCGTGATATGATATTGGGATCTGATTTCTTGTTTGACCATGGAGCATTATTGAACATTGCTCAAGGCACACTAACTTTTAATGATCTGTCAGTCCTGCTAGGCGTGAAAGCTACTAGTGTTGGTCCATCAGAGCCCCGTCCGGTTGTTGCGGCGGACGCTGAACCGCTATCTAACTCTTGGAGTAATGATAGTAATTCTGAGGAAGACCCGGGCACGTACTATTCCCGTGTCACTGTTTGTAGTAAATTAACTCTGCCTGCCGGCCATGTCGTGCTGGTCCCGTGCAAGTCGGTGCAAGAGGCATCTGTGACTGTGGATTGTGTTGCTGTTCCACTGGACTCATTCTTGTTCAAGTTTCCAGATGTGTCTGTGACCCCCAGTGTGGTTACGGTTGGACCTGGCAGGTCCGGTGCGGTAGTTGTGTTGGAGAATCACTCTGACTACCCAGTACAAATTGCTACAGATGTTGATATTGCAGAATTATCTCCTGTACCCGATAACTTGATTGGAGAGGATGATGATCCTGCTGATTCATCTGTTGCGGATATGCAACCGTTTGTGCTATCCCCTGAACATGCCGAGATAATCCGTACGTATGTTGAGTCTCGGAATCATCTGGCAGTACCTGAAAAGAACAGACTTACAGAGCTTCTCCGTGAGAATCATGACTTGTTTCTCTTGCAGGAGGGTGATTTTGGTCCTTGTGATGTTTTGCCACATAGTAGTAGTACTGGTGATATACAGCCAGATAAGCAGCCTACGCGCGCTTTGCAAGCTTTGCTGGATGATCTGTTGTCCCGTGGTATACTCACCGAGTCCATTAGACCCTGGGCGTCGCCCATAGTTCTCGTTCCCATGAAGGACGGATCTCTCCGGTTATGTATCGACTACCGCAAGTTGAACAGCATTGCGGAGCCAGATGCGTATCCTATCCCACGTGTTGATGACATATTGGACTCACTCTCTGGCTGTTCATGGTTCACTTGCCTGGATTTAGCGTCAGGATATTGGCAGGTTCCTAAGCACAAGGACGATACGGCAAAGACTGCCGTTACGACACCGTTGGGCTTGTGTGATTTCTTGGTTATGTCTGGCTGTAGAAATGGTCCAGCGACGTTCCACCGTGTAATGGAAGCCGTGCTTCATGGTTTATGTAGTGTGCCTAACCAACCAATCTGTCAAGTGTTTTTCAACAGTGTATTGAATGCCAGCTCTACCTTCACTGGACAGCTCCAGATCCTGCAGTCTGTATTTGGCCGGGTTTGGGCTGCTGGACTAAAGGTAAACTTGGAAAAATGTTCTTTTTTTCCAACGGAAGGTGCTCTTCCTTGGCCATGAAGTTTCGGCTGAAGGTTTGGCTCCGGATCCCACCAGGGTTGAGGCTATTGTGAAGTGGGCCGTACCCCAGTCTGTACGAGGTGTACAGGTGTTTCTGGAGTACGCCGGGTTTTACCGCAGCTTCATCCGTGGTTTTGCTCAGCGCTCCGCTCCACTGAATGTATTAGCAGGCAAGGGTGCCAGCTTTACATGGACTAAGAGTAGTGATGCGGCGTTGACGTTTATGAAGCGGTCACTGACCACAGCCTCCGTGTTGGCGTATCCCGACTTTTCTGTTTCGTCTGGCGGCTTTATTTTGGACACTGACGCAAGCAAGGTGGCCATTGGAGCTGTCCTCAGTCAAATGCAAGATGGCGAGGAACGCCCCATTGCATTCGGCAGCCGGGTATTGGCGAAGGCAGAGAAGAATAATGATGCGTCAGACCGGGAAACGCTTGCCCTTGTCCATTTCGCGAATCAGTTCCGGCACTATTTGCTTGGTCGGAATTTCATTGCCCGCACAGATAACACTGCCCTCAACGCACTGATGTCCGTGAAGGAACCACGCGGTCGAAAAGCTCGATGGGTGGAGCAACTCGCTGAGTACACCTTCACTACTGTTCACCGACCGGGTCGGCAGCACTTGAATGCAGATGGTCTGTCGCGTTCCTTGTTGCCGGAGGTGCAACCCTCCCATCTCGAGACTCCCACAAATCAGCCAGAGCAAGCTAGTTCCTCTGCCATAACGGCGTCTGTGGATGTCGCCACACCTGTACTTGCTGGTCTCTCCGCAACTGAGTCGGCTGCTGCCAAAGCTGTGAATGTCGACCTCTCAGTGGTCAGTTTGCCCAGGTACAATGCGGTGAGTGGAAAATTTGTTCGCCCTCCCGAAGGTTTCTGGCACTAGTCGTACCATGCGTTTGTTCTCGGCTAATGCAGTTGGATCAGAAGGAACATTCGGTTCGCGTCTGATGCCTCACGGTGCTTACTCTGCAAGCCCTCGACCATGACCCTACTTGTTGTCCGCTGTCGTCAGAGCCCATCTCGCTCGCAATCCTGGACTGCCTGGTCGGTTTACTGATTTTGCTATATCCTGAGTTTTTATTTTTTATGTTTCTGTTTTCTTTCTCTATTCACGAGGGCGTGAATTTTCGGTAGGAGGGGGATAGTGTAGCATGGCTACTTTATGACACGTAATTTGTATACACATAAATAGTACACCGTAGGAATGCATGGATAGCAGTGCGCACACTCGCACTGCCTTGTCTTCTTTTTCTCCTTGTGAGACAATGAACGAATGATAACTACTTACGTAACTACAAGTATGTGCTTTGAGTGCTGAGAGTATACGAGTTACAATGTCATGGTTATGCGAATGATGTCATGGTGGTGAGTCAGCGTAATTGCCTATGGGCACTATGTGCAGAGCGCGAGTCAGTCACGGCTACATTGTATTCATACAGCCTTGTGAGTCTCTAGCACAACACCGCTGTGTGTGTGCCGCGACCTTGCCACAGCATCTCGACTGATGATGTAACCGCATAACCTCCATAGCGGTGAAGGCCACAACACAACAAGAACACAATGAATCGATTCTAGTCAAATCTTCACTTCCTGGGGCATGTCACATGACAGCCCTAACTGAGAGGAGCGTGTACTTAGTCTTTTGAAAATCGAGTCAGACCGACCGACTGCTGTGGTTGTGCAGTGCCGGGGTCCGGCTTGAATACAATGAATGCTATAGTGATTGCACATAATTAAAAAAACTGCAAAATACCGGAGAAGGCGAAAAACTTGAAAAAAACGGCAAAATACGAGCAGAGGAAGCAGAAGCTGAATTGCAACTTCCGGGTGAGGAAGTAGGGGGGGGGGGGGGCACACTCCAAATAAAGGAAAAATATCAAGAGTGGAACAAGGTGGGACTCCAGTTCAAGAATATTCACATTGCTTGTGGGAGACGCAGCGACACTAGCGAAGCAGCGGTTTGATCAAATCAAAATCTGTCCTTGATATGCATGCACAGACGAGGTGTCTGTGCGTCCTGCCGGACGTATTTGCATGTACAGTCATGTATGCATGTGTGTGTCAGCGCATGTGTGCACATCGGCATGTGTGTGTGTGTATGTGTGTGTGTGTGTGTGTGTGTGTGTGTGTGTGTGTGTCAGCGCATGTGTGCACATCGGCATGTGTGTGTGTATATGTGTGTGTGTGTGTGTGTGTGTGTGTGTGTGTGTGTGTGTGTGTGTGTGTGTGTGTGTGTGTGTGTGTGTGTGTGTGTGTGTGCATGTGTGCGTGCATGTGTGTGTGTGTGTGTGTGTGTGTGTGTGTCAACGTAACGGTATTTGTGATACACTGCTACTTCTAAAGCACTGCTAAATCTAAAGGAAAACTTGGGGAAATGATAAATCAAACAAATACGCAAAACGGGTGTGGAAAAACCCACTAAAGTTGTATGAAGGAAATCAAAAGTGCTACGCTGCATGATAATTATGTGTAGTTCATGCAAAGAATTTCAAGAGAATATTTTACCAATAATTCAATAAGTGGCAGGAAAGATAAAAAAATTCCTAGAAAACGATCATTCAATCCACTTGGCATCCATTACGAACCAAATCTGAACATGCAGAACAAAGAAATGAATGACAAACCTGACGCAGGTCATGATTCCGTGTGACTATTGTCCATGTCCAAAGTGCAACCTGCACACTACTTTGAGCAAGCACTCCACTGCGCCAGGCACTGGACAGAGATAGGCGTTGGCCGGCACGGACAGCACACGGCAAACCTACGCGGAGCATCAGGTTTAGTCGGACGACTTGCCGGCTCGAGACGACCGGATCGTGAGCTTAACCGTCAATGAACTGTGCACGCCTAAGAGGGAGTGCAAAAACAAACATAAACAGACAGAAAAACACCCATGGTGAACAGGTAGATTAAAACCTGCCAAGGCGGCCACTCGGATAAGGCAACCGCCATCCTACTGTGGTGGACATGGAAATCCGGTCGCACGTCTAGCGGTCCCAGGGCGCTGGCCATGCAGCCGTCGGTAAGCGGTACACACATGCATTTATGCGCTGCAGCGCGCTGGTCGCATAGGATAAACATTTGCATGGCACACAGCGTTCTGTACGCGCTGAGGGCGCCGACCCCGGTCAATGGACTGGATTTCCATGTCTGCTACAGTAGAAGACCACTGCAACCAGGATCGACCCAGTGATGCTATTTCCAGTCAAACGACCCTTGATGAGGCGACCAGCTGGCAACAGAGACCACATTTTGAAGGTCTCTTGAGCGGTCATCTTAGACTGGTTTCTCTGTGCTATCTCATACAGATAAAATTAATATACCGAGCGGCAGATCCTGCCAAGTTCTGTCTTCAGCATTAGCGAACTTCCGGTAGTATCGCTGCATTCACAATCATGTTCACATGTACATGTACATTGCTGCATGGACATATTCATATCATGTACCTGTACAAGCACATGTACCCAATCATGATTCCAGCTAGTACTGGCTCCTCTGTGTCATCATGCACTCAGCACCCTGCCCCCTTCCCCAGGGCTCCCCTCATCTGCCCCCCCCCCCTGCCCCTCCCATTCTATCTGGTGCTGCTTCCTCTGGGGTCATCATGCATTCTGTGCCCTACCACCTACTCCCTACCTTAACCCTTCCATTGGTCAAATGCAACACTGGTGTCTGCATGCGTTACACTCACTCAATAATCTGTGCTACTCTCGCGACGACTTCCTCCCGAGTGAATGCTGCCAAGATGCACAGAAGCTCCTTGCAGCTGATCTCCTTCTTGTGGACGATGTAGAAGAGCTGACCGGCCACATTGTCGGTATCCGCTAGGCCGCGTTGGTTCTCCTTGATGTAAGAGATCATGATGCTCTCGAAGTTGTTGACAAACTCGCCGGCTGCCATTACCAGCTGCTTGGCCAGTTTCTCTATAATCCAAAACCAGAACAAGAAAACCGTTTCTCCGTGATCCAGAACCAGAGCCAGAAAATAGTTTCTCTGTAATTAAGAACCAGAACAAGAGAACAGTTTCGCTGTAATCCAGAACCAGAACAAGAGAATAGTTTCTCTGTAATCCAGAACCAGAACAAGAGAATAGTTTCTCTGTAATCCAGAACCAGAACAAGAGAATAGAATAGAATAAAGAACATAGAAACACAGGATTACGGGTTCAAATGTAACCCCTTCTAAAAAAGAAGAAAAGAAGTTCTTCTTTCGCGTCCTCCACCGGTCTCGTCACTCTCACCTCACGATATATACCTGAATGTGAAAGCCTATGACAAGATGAAAACTAAACAACAAAAGTGTGAACCCTTACTTCGTTCCGCAAGAGTCAAGTACTCTGCCATCTTGTTTCCGAGATCAGTCAAATCGGTAAGTGTCACCAGCTTATCACTGAGAGAAAACAACAATGTGAGCACATGCATACACACACACACACACACACACACACACACACACACACACACACACACACACACACACACACACACACACACACACACACACACACACACATGCACACACACACACACACACATAAACACACACACACATACACACACACACATACACACATACACACACACACACACACACAAACACACACACACACACATCCGTACGTGCATGTTCGTGTACACGCACCATAACTTCACATCATAATGACAAACCCGTACACATTGTTTGCACCCTGTGCATGACAGGCACAGGGTCGAATCCACCCCCTTCTTTGGGTTCAACTCTCTGGACTTCACTTTGCACTGTTTGCCAGCGTAACTTATCGAAACATGCCATGTGATGTGAAGCCCCACAGTCCCCTAGGCCCAGCATTGGATAGAGATTGTACAGGCTGTTGTACATTCTTGATAGTTACATGTTCCTAGGACACTTTAGATATTACATACACGTTGTTCAGATTGCAGTACTTGGCCGAGACGTATTCCTCCGGTGACATGTTACGTAAACTGATGGCTGCACCGCCAGTGCCCACACACGCTGCACAGATACACAATGAAATCAGACAAGGAAATCAGCTCAGTGACAAATGAGAACAGATTTATCTGCAAGCGGTTCATTGTAAACAGATATATAAGCGGTTCAAAACCGTTCTACCCGCGTTTAGGGCATTTCCCTTACCTGAGCCTGATGGAGTCAGTTCTCGGCGCAGGACAAGGTTTGAAGGGTCCTGTCAACAGTGGATCAGCACACACACACATGCAAGATAGTGAGTGCAAGTGCACATGCACGAAACTCTCCTCCCCCCCCCCCCCCCCCCCCCCCCCCACCCACACACACAACCACACACTCACATACATGCACGCAAGCGCACCCACACACATACATACATACACGCACGCACGTGCCCGCACACACACACACACACACACACACACACACACACACACACACACACACACACAGACACACACACACACTTGTACTTGTTGCTCACTGCCAAAACTGGTCACGTGGGTCTCCCCGGGAGAGAGGAGAGAGATTCAAAAGGAATCTTGGGAAGATGACTCAATTGCCTATTGAACTGCCCAACGGCCGACACCCCCTGAAATCCCCAAAACTCTGGGTGGACTTGAAACACACACAAGTACACAAACACACACACACACGCACACACACGTACACATACACACACACATACACACACACACACATACACACACACACACACGACGGAGGCAAAGAGCTGTGTAGCTGTAACTTCAAGTTTCATGCAATTCAGTGATCATCAGACAGCGGCATTCACAGAGGATCGCTGAACTGCTGGGTGTGAGTATGTATGTGTGTGGGGGGGGGGGGGGGGGGAGAGGGGGGGGGAGGGGTATATACATGACTGTACTCTATACTAGACGATATTGACAGCTGCTTTGCTAATACATAGCTCATCAGTGAAGGTAGATGTTGAATGATTAGAAATATAGACCAAACTGCTATCATATAGGGTTTTCCACATACAAAACTGGCATAGCTGATGCGATAACCCGGGAAAAGGAAAGTGTGAAGTACTGTTCACACGCATGGTACATGCATGCAGCATCAGAAATTCGGCGCGGAAAATCAATCACTATGACTATCAATGCAGAAAAAATAAGCCAGAATCATTTTCTTCAATGGCCGAGACGTCCGTCGCACCCTGGAACAGGACTGTACTCTATACACGGGAGTATACACGTAGACTCTTGGGGGGGAGGGGGGGGGGGGTGATATGGTCTTGGAAGGGGTATAATACGCTTGGAGAGGGGGGGGGGGGGTAATATACTCGTAGGGGGGGGGGGGGTGGGGTGATATGGTCTTGGAAGGGGTATAATAACGCTTGGAGAGGGGGGGGGGGGTGTAATATACTCGTAGGGGGGGGGGGTCTTGGAAGGGGTATAATAACGCTTGGAGAGGGGGGGGGGAGGGGTAATATACTCGAAGGGGGGGGGGGGGGGGTATAATATACTCGTACAGGAGTGGGGGTGGTGTAGATACTCTTGGTACATTTCCATGCACTCTCACCTGAGTCCATCTCTTCCAGAAGGACAGTCCTCCATTGGGGATCCTCGCCTCCTTGTTCAAGACGGGACACATCGGAGTCGTTCCAGGCTCAAACCCGTCGACTGCGTGAAAGCAGGTAGCGCGGTCGATGCACATCCCTCTACCGTGCGTAATGCACAGCACACTATCGCTCATCTTGCCACAACCACATGCCACCGTCTCCTTCACAGCACAACAACCACAACAACAGACAAGGATCATAAACACAACAACAGACAAGGATCATAAACACAACAACAGACAAGGATCATAAACACAACACGTGTGATGATGGGCAATGTCGGTGGCTACCATGACCAGGTGGACAACAACTGTACATGTATGGCGGGACAAGAAATAATCATCGAATGAAATTGTTCAATACTAGAGAAGAGCAAGTGGTAAGGAAGACCGTCCAGCCATTCACCAGCCATTCACCAGCCGTTCACCAGCCGTTCACCAGCCGTTCACCAGCCGTTCACCAGCCATTCACCAGTCATTCACCAGCCATTCACCAGCCATTCACCAGCCATTCACCAGCCATTCACCAGCCATTCATCAGCCATTCACCAGCCATTCACCAGCCATTCACCAGCCATTCACCAGCCATTCACCAGTCATTCACCAGCCATTCACCAGCCATTCACCAGCCATTCACCAGCCATTCACCAGCCATTCACCAGCCATTCACCAGCCATTCACCAGCCATTCACCAGCCATTCATCAGCCATTCACCAGCCATTCGCCAGCCATTCACCAGCCATTCACTGTATTTAGTGGACGGCACAAGAAAAGCATGCTCCACAAGGGAGAACATGGAGTTATCTGGTAAGAGTAGTTTGAAATAATAATTATTATCGCACGGCACTGTGACTCACCTCAATCAAAAGTCTCGGACTGGTAACTGCCTGCATGTCAGACAACCATTGATTCACCTGACGTAACGCTGCCTCACCCTCACCACTGCCGAAGACACGCTGCTCGTTGACCGACTCCATTCTGAGAGAGATGCCGCACTTCCAGTAGGCCACTAGCAGCCACTCTCCGTCGCTGACATTCCACGGCAGTCGCATGGTAAACTTGGACAGGGCAGTCATCCTCCAGGCGCTGGTTTTCGTGCCGCTCTCGACGAGGAGCTGGTTGTGGCGAGTGATGCATTTTATGCCGATTGTGTGGAACATATCATGTGGAAAGTGGTTGTTTTCGTCGCAAGCCAGAAGAATGGCCTCGGATGTGGAGCCGCCTTCCCGCTCACGGATAGACTCATTTTCGGTAGCAGCTGGCATGAGAAAGACTTTCTTCTTTCCGTGCTTGGCCGTGGTGATTTCACCCAGGTCACACAGGATGCACAGTGTCTCCATTAGCTGCAAGAAGGTGTGGCGGTGCTCCTCATTCAACATCAGCCGATAGAACTCGGGACTGTGCTCTTGCCATAGACGCAGGGCCAGTTCAACCGTGATGTAGCCTTGTTCGTAGAGATCAATGTCATCGCGTGATGGTGGATCCTTCACGAAATCTTCTCGCTTCATTCCAGGCTGAATGAGCGAGGCAGCCAGCTTCATCACGGATGGTACGTTGATGATCACTTTATCCCGCAGTGCTACGGACTGGGGAAAGAAGAGAACGGTGCCAAGGTTGTGGTGGAAGCCCAGCATAGGTTTGACCTCATCCACTCGACGTGCAGTGCCCAGGCAGCGGGCTAGACGAAGCAGATCACCGAGCGAGATCCAGGGACTGGAGAGACGGGGATCTCTAGAGAGCTCAAGAAGTGCGAGCGTTTCCAGACCACGTGCAAGTGGGATCGCCTCTTGGTTGACACTCTCCTCGACAAGCTTAGTGCGCAGGCTTCGGATTCCAGTGTGTTCTGGCCAGAGGAAGCTACCAGAACGTGTGTTGTTGACAAACACGATGTCGTCAGACTTCAGCAAGTGGCAGTACGGTTTCCATTTAAGACTTTTCATGATGACATCACGTTCCGCATCCAGGATCGCTCCACTAAACCAGCCACGATGGTCGATATGTGTGCCAACGAGGAACACCCGCACGTTGCTGCTACTCGGCATGTTGTGTATTGTGGCCAGGTAGTCGTGGATATACGCAAGGCTTGGCTGTCTCGGCACAGCTGCAGTGCAAGGCCGATGTTTGCCCTCGTGTCGAACCTGCATAGCACAGGAACACACGAGACACAGAGCACCATGCGTCTGGTGTTGTAACTTATAGTTTTATGCCAGGTCCTGGCAACTCTCAGACAACTGATATTTTAAACAGTGATATGTGTACGAACTTGTCTTTCTTTCAAAGAATGACATGATAGCAATCGTACTAGTTGAGAGGCAGGGGGACGGGGGGGATTGGGACCAAAATAGCTTGATTTTGAGCCTGTACCTTAGAGCTAGTGGACTGGCAACATCTGAGTATCTTGTCTTCAATTCAAGATATTCTACTCTGACGTCGCATCTCTTCCAGTAGAACACTGTATGCTATAGTATGGGGAAGGTCAAAATTATTGCCATCTTCTAAAGTACAGCATTCTTGGCTTTTAAAAGGTCTAGCTAACACCGAAACCCATTGTACTGTTGGCTGGTCACAGTCACTTCACAATTCACACACAAGGTGCTGGACTAGACTGCCTAGACCAAAACCAGCCCACTGTCCAACGGTCTCTCGACATCTATCAATACTTACAGTGCTCTGAGGAGTCTCTGCTTCCACAGACTGGCTTGCGTTGAAGACAATTGCATACACAGTGCGGTCAGCACCAAAGCCGATGTGCTGAAGCAGCCGATAGGAGTCCTGGCCTGCCGTGTCCCAGATGCGGATGATTTGGAACGATCCCTCGGCAATATCTGCGCTGGCATTCTCAATGAACCAAGAGGATGTCACGCGGCTTGAGATATCACTAATCACACTTTGTGGTAACTCGTTCTCGCTTGCTGCCGAGTCAGAGAATGGGTCCGTCAATCCAGAGGCATCACTTGCTAGTGAAGAAGAAATGTCTGATCTGGTATTGCTTGCAGCAGAGTTAGCAGAATGAGAGGATTCCGAAACAGATGAGGAAGAAGAAGAAGAAGCAGCGGCAGTGTGCAGACGGGCCTCTGGAACAGTTGCGGTACCCTTGATCACAGAGGCGATCCTCCTTCTGAGCATTTCCTGGCCGTCTTTGCTGGCCTCCTGCTCCAGCTGATCGCCATCGATGATGAACGTGCTTTCATCCACTCCGACTGTGCTGTTGTCGTCCTTTCCGCGCAAGATTTTCTTGCGGCAAAGAGAGCGCGCCAGGCTGGTCTTGCCTGCACCGGCTTCACCGATCAGAATCATGCGTAGAAACGGTATTCCAATCTCCAGCTGGAGTCGGGCTGGCTTGACCATGGGTTCAGAAACTGTGCACAAAGAAAACATAAAATACTTACACTTGTACATGAATGCATATGCTACCTATGCAGTCTCGTACCCATCTTGCATTTTACAGTGCAGTGTAGCTGACAGAAGACAACTCCAATGCATGGATATGGCTTACTCAGGGTCAGAGACTCAGAAGTAGAAAACTTCGCATCAGTTTGATACATTGCACTACTTTTCAAAGTGCATGTATTCTCACATTCGGAGCATAGTGCGCACCTGCAAATTCGGGCCTGAAATAGCGCATTAAAGTGCGCAATGTTCTCTGGCAAATGCAGCAATTATAATCTCTGGCTCTCCATCCGAGTCTAGTACGCACAAGTTCCAACTTCAAGTATTCATTCTGTTAACACAATCACACTTGATCACATTTATACTGTGTATAGATTAAAAGACTGGTGGAACAGAAGGCACCACCGGTCTCAGCACTGGCTTCATGCTGACCAACCGCTTCATCAATGTCTTCTGTTACTTCCATACCTTTGTAGGACACAATTTTAACCCCGTATACTCCATCTGGGTAAGGCAGGTCCAATTGCATGACTGCATAGATGATATCGTGCGCTCCAGGGACATCCGATAGCTTATGGTTACGCATTCCACCATTCCATTTCATCTCGCTGCACACCACTTCACCTGTTGGCCACCAATGTACAAAAAAGGATCGATCCCAGGGGTCTGACATCTTGTAGCACACAGAGAGCAGAACAAAACAAACACATTGTTACTAGGTCTCTGTGACTGTCATGGCTGCCATGGCAACCCTGATCACTTTTAAAAGTGCATCGCACCACACTCACATGGCCCAGTTACAGTCAACTTGGCTAATAACGACTGCGGATTGAACGACAATTCGCTAATAACGACTGCGGATTGAACGACAATTCGCTAATAACGACTGCGGATTGAACGACAATTCGCTAATAACGACTGCGGATTGAACGACAATTCGCTAATAACGACTGCGGATTGAACGACAATTCGCTAATAACGACTGCGGATTGAACGACAATTCGCTAATAACGACTGCGGATTGAACGACAATTCGCTAATAACGACTGCGGATTGAACGACAATTCGCGAATAACGACTGCGGATTGAACGACAATTCGCTAATAACGACTGCGGATTGAACGACAATTCGCGAATAACGACTGCGGATTGAACGACAATTCGCGAATAACGACTGCGGATTGAACGACAATTCGCGAATAACGACAGAATTTCCATGCCCAGAGCAAAGTCCCATACCCCTGTAATACATATAATGAGACTTCAGGTATAACGACACTTCGCGAATAGGGACACCTTTTTGATGCCCCGCCGAGTGTCGTTATAAGCGAAGTTGACTGTAGTCCTTCCACAGCACCAACAAAGTTTCATGTCATTCAGTGTGCATTCTGTCACAAGTCCGTGTTTTCTTGATTGTTGGCGCGTGTCATTCATGGAATATGGACACGTGGGTCTACTGCAGATTGCCAAGAACCAGCTCATAGAACGACACAACAATGAGAGATGCTTCCCAGTACGACATTCACAGCAAAGCACGCCTCACCGGCACCATATTCACAGAAAGCTTCCCACACCAAAAGACATTTAACAGCTCTATCTTTGACTGAGTGATGAATTATCGATGCATGTTCAGAGGGAGGGAGGAAGGGAGGGACAGGCAGACAGAAGAGAGAGAAATGGTCATACATATTGGTTACCATGACAACCTCAGGAATCTAACATAAGCTTTATTTAGATGGACAAATCCAAAGAGGCTTGTACAAGCAGCTTCCCACACACGAGAGCACTACGCATCATTCGTTGTAACTAAAAGTGTCATGCCCATAGGCAATCATCAGACAACTACAAGTGAACTGTAGTGCTCTGTGTTGTGTGTACGATAGCTATATTTGAATGAATAATGAGCACTGACTCTGCCGAGCCGGAGCACTCTCATTTATAAACGGCTTCTTTCAACTGCTTTAATAGCATCCTGTGCACGGACACACCATGATAAAAATCATCATTAAACCTGCAGATACTTAAAGGGGAAGTGTATCGATTTTTCATGTAGGGTCCAGAAGAAAGACAACTTGACATTGGTTCGAATGGCATATCTCTCGCTTGCATAATTATGACACGTCAAACTTGCCAAATCGCCAATTGTATGCTCATGTTGCCATGGCGACCAGCGCAGTGATGATGCATGTTCTGCTTAGCTCTGTGAGAGAGAAGGTCGATCACTGCCGAATTTGGTCATTTTCAATTGTGTTATTGTATTCACGAAATGTAAGAAGGGCTTTGTTCAATGCTGGTAGTGCCGTGAGCTGTATATTAGTAGTCCTCTGTATATTAGTAGTAATGGAAATGACCACATTCTGCAGTGATCGACCTTCTCTCTCACGGACCTAAGCAGAACCTGCGTCATCACTGCGTTGGTCGCTATGGCAACATGATCATACAATTGGGGATTTGGCAAGTGTGCCATTCGAACCGATATCAAATTGTCTTGCTTCTGGACCCTAATTGAATTAAGGTGAGCCAATCATAATAATATTTCCCTTGTTTTCTTTTTTTTGAAAATCAGTGTTTTGATCATTTCCTTCAGATAAAGTAAGTAAATTATCGTGTCCGTTCCCGAAGGCAACTCACGACGGCCGCTAACACCCGGTAAACCCTAGCGGCAGATGCAGCGCCTAACGGTTGGGGTAAGTGGATAAGTCTCACAACCACTGGCACAAGTGCCGAGAAACCCCATTAGCTGCATCCATGTACCTGGCCACAAGTTCCCAGTTGACTGTGGGTTGCAGCATGGCTGGAAAAACCGCTCCCATGCATGACTTGAACCAGGTACCTCTCGTATCTTAATCATGGTCTTTGACCAACCCACTGTGCCTGCCTGATAGACAAGAGAAAACGTTCGGAAGTAACTCAAAGTTGTTCTGTGTTTGCTGATGATTCGGTCTACCATGTTCTTCTCTATATTGCTTTTTTATTTATTGAAGTTAGTTCTAAGAGGCTCACCTTTGCAAGAGAGTCAGTCAGGTTAAATGTAACTTGGCCAATTTCACCTCTTTCAGAATTGAATCTGAATGTACCCGGAGACTGATCTGGGTTAAAACGGCCGAACCCTATTGAAAGGAAAAAATCCGGCTGCACAGCCATACATAGCATACATACAAACATACATGAGTGCTTATGCACATACACATACACACACACACACGCACCCACGCACCCACCCAAACACGCACCCATCCACGTACGCACCCACGCATGCACCCAC